GGAGAGGTCAAAGGGCATGCCAGATGGGAGCTGTCGAAGTTTATCCAGCAAACAGGGGGCGTGTGCTTGTTTGCGTGTCCCACTTGCGTGTGGGCTGCAGAGGTCAGGAGGGTGGATGACCAAGCGTTTCAGTTCCAGATCCTTTAGATTCTTCCATCACACCATCAGAGCCGGCATTGGCTGTGCAGCCCTGTCCTTCAGACTCAGTGAGGTCATGTCATGGCGCTGCATCATGGTGCTGTGGCTCCCCGTCCAGTTGCTTGCGCCCCCTGCTGCCACCAGACCCCACCCCGCCCTGCCTCTCTCCTGTATTTCATGCTATGTTTCTTCTCTCGCTTGTGTATTCTGTCTGTCTCAGCTTCCACTAACTTCCATGCCTGGCAATCCCAATCACGTAAGTGCCCTCTCTTTCCTCAGTTCTTAACTTGTGCCCCCCCCCCCTCCTCCCCCCCCCACTCGCCACCCTAGCCCTGTTCCTGCTTTACACTGGAGGCTGTATTAATTTTTTTAACATTGTAATTTTGCTTTTTATCTTTGATCTTGAGATTTCCTCCATTTAAAACCCATACGTGATCCTAATCGGCATCCATTAGCTAATTAAGAGCTTATGTGAATTTTCTTTCTGCCCTGATGGTTAGATCACACAGGGGACTGCATCTAATGCTGATTTATTTTGCAGCTTCAGACCTACAGCAGCTAGTTATAGGACTCTGAGGTGTTTTTCCTGAGGAATACTGCCCCTGCTGGTGAAGGGGGGAACACTCATAATAAATATGTCAGCAGGCATAAATATGATCAATTTAGAAATTATGAAATGTCAAAATCCTTTTAGGGACATATATCCTACCTCATCGCTGACGTAGCTCCAGGTCTTAGACTGCATTACAGTTGTGGATGGATACTTGCGTAAATCAAATGTTGAACACACTGTGCCGGGTTCTGTACAAGGCCAGTGTGCTCACTCTGCATTCAGGACAGTATTTTTTTGTGCCCCAGTGTGTTCTTGTTGCTGTGACCAGTAAGCCCATGGCAGATTTATATTAATGATAATAAAGCCTCAGGATTGAATTCAGGGTACACTGGTGTCAGAATGTGCTGGAAGCTTTGAAGGGGAGGTTCGGTATATTCTGTATGGGAGCAGGTAACTGGCCTTGTAGGAAAAACGATGAATATTACAGCACACAGACTGGGAGTCACAGAGAAGCTGCCTGCTTTACTTCCTGCCCTGTGATGAGCTGGAGTCGGACCCGTACCGCGGTGCTCGCTGTGTGTACGCCCTCTCGCTGACTCCCTCTCTGCCCTCCCCCAGTGCGCTTTGCCCCCTACCGGCCCCCGGACATCTCCCTCAAGCCCCTCCTCTTCGAGGTGCCCAGCATCACGGTGGACTCCGTCTTCACGGGCCGCGACTGGCTCTTCCAGGAGGTCGACGCGCAGCTGAGGAGCGTCAACTGCAGCACCAACCGCGGCGTGGTGGTCATGGGCAACATCGGCTACGGCAAGACGGCCATCATCTCGCGCCTAGTGGCGCTCAGTTGCCATGGCACCCGCATGCGCCAGATCGCCTCCGACAGCCCACACGCTTCGCCCAAACGTAAGCTTCCGTCAGCGAGGGGGGGAGCATATCACTCTAAATCACTGCATGTTGTTTGATGATATGTGGATGAATATTTCCACATATTATTGTAACAGAGTCTGTACAAATATAATACATACTATCAGGGGCATAGGATATGGAGGGTGGGGGGCACGTTTACCCCCCAGTGTTTAATTTGGATTAATTTATCCTCCCGATAAATAGAACTTTGTATTTAAATTATTATTGTGGTAGATTACATAAGGGGTGGGTGTCATAAGGGGGCTAACTTTCGATATTTGTCACCACTAGATGGGGAGAGTCTGCCCCTCAGTCAGCCCCAGCCATCCCACGGTACCCTGGGGGGAGGCAGCTGCCCCGGCACCCCCGAGATGAGGCGCCGGCAGGAGGAGGCCATGAGGAGGTTGGCGTCCCAGGTACGCAGCCATGTCCGTCTCTCCATCACACCGTCGCTGCTCCCATTGGCTGTCTGGCCCTGTCCGTCTCTCCATCACACCGTCGCTGCTCCCATTGGCTGTCTGGCCCTGTCCTGCGGAGCAGCCCCCCCAGCTGGCTTCCTAAATACCTCCCAGTGATCCCGAGGCCACATTATGCAAATGTATTTAAAAAGGAAAAACAACTTTGCTCAGAAGCATAATGAAATATTTATACATGCAAGAGGCAATTTTCAGCCCAGCTCGTAGGTCCCTGTAGCTCAGTGCATTAATAATGAAGGCCAATCCCCCTTTTTAATCCCGGTCTCCCCTTTGCTTAGTGTCTCTATCACTCGGTTTTTAAAATTAGCATTGAGTTGTAATTCATCCCCCCCCCCCAATCCAACTACACACACAAATCCATCGGCACGCCATTACGCCATTAGCCCATGCCAGGCTGACGGCTGTTCTGCCCATTACGCCTGCCCGCTCCACACCCTTCTGTAGATTGCGGTTTCTTTTCGGTTACTGGTGCTGTCGGATTAGCAGCGAGGCACCCACAGCTTCCTGTAGCCTCTCGCTCCCTTTCCCTTAAAGCTAAACTGGGTCTCCTTCATGTTCTTCCCATAAAACTCCCAAAGGTGATTATTTCATTAGGTACTGGCAGGTAAAGTTAGTTTTAAGTCCAAATGTTTTGTTTGGATGCCACAAAAACGACACAAAAGTCATTATCTGATTGTTGGGATATCGGGGAACCCGCAGCCTGATGACCTCATGTTCATTTCCACGGTGGATTTCTGTCATTCATTGTGTAATTTTGCTACAAATCTCTTGAGGAAAGCTGAGCTGGGTTTTTTTTTATTGGTGTTTCTGAGAAAATCGAGTAATATTTGTTGAAAAGTTCTTGCATTTCAATTGACAGTTTCAGTCTATTTGTTTAAATGAAATAACCAAAAAGAGTGAAAAATACCCTCATGTCTCAGTGCTCCCCAGTCCCATCCTGTGGATCATGTAGATCAAACACCTGAAAGTGTGGATGCTGCAGGATCATTTAATATTCCCTCCTCTCTCGCTGCCCCTAACCCCACCAGGTGGTGGCGTACCACTACTGCCAGGCAGACAACGCCTACACCTGCCTGGTGCCCGAGTTTGTGCACAACGTGGCGGCGCTGCTGTGCCGCTCGCCGCAGCTCATCGCATTCCGGGAGCAGCTGCTGCGGGAGCCGCACCTGCAGAGCGTGCTCAGCCTGCGCTCCTGCGTGCAGGACCCCCTGGCGTCCTTCAAGAGGGGCGTGCTGGAGCCCCTGGATGCCCTCTACAAAGGTCAGCCCCGTGCCCAGCGTGCCGACGGAACCCCGTTTTCCCCCTGGCCCCCGAACAGTGTTTCTAAGCCCAATCCTCGGCTACCCCTCCCAGACAGTCCACATTTTTGCTCCCTCCCTAAACAATCAAGAACTATGAATACCTGGTGTAGGTCTGTTTGGAGCTGGGAAGGTGCAGAAATGCGGACTGTCTGGGGGTCCGTGGGACTGGGTTCAGAAACCCTGCCCTAGTAGGATGTGTAGCTGGCTGAACAGAGTCGGCACATTTCCTCACTGTCATGCTTTGGCCGAGTTAACGCGCATCAAAGACAGGGAGCATTAACGTTACACTGTATACATAATGACAAACAGGGGGTGTCACTAGGGTGGTATTTATATTGATTATTGTGTTGTGATTGATTTTGATTAAAGTCAAACTCCCCTTGTAGCCCCCCTTTTCAAAAATATCGTCATGCTCCTAATTACCGCGAAAATACAATACCGGCTTGCTGTCTAGCAGTGGGCCTTTAGGAACCTCTCAAGGTTTTTCCACAAAGCTGAAGCTGACCTCTGTGCTTCAGAGAGGAAGATCACCACCGACGAAGACCTCCTCATCCTCATCGACGGGCTCAATGAGGCCGAGTTCCACAAGCCCGACTACGGGGACACCATCGTCTCCTTCCTGAACAAAACCATCAGCAAGTTCCCGCCATGGCTGAAGCTGGTGGTCACCGTCAGGACCACGCTGCAGGTGGGGGGGGTTTGCCGCGCGTTAAGCCATAGTGCATTATGGGTAAACGTGACGCTCAGCTCCTACATGGTGCTGGAAGAGCCACGATTGCACAGAGAACATCGATATCCATCCAGGCTTTCATAAGACTGGGTTTGCTGATCGATGACAAAGAGAACCTTTAATAATTAATGCAGCAGGAAAAGCAGCAATTACTATTAGTCATCCCTCATTCCCTCAGTGCTCGTTGTCATCTTTCTTCTCGTGGATCTTTTCCTGTTTTTCTAACATCCCATCTCCTGCTGCAGGAGATCACCAAGCAGCTCCCCTTCCACCGTATCTCCCTGGATCGTCTGGAGGAGAACGAGGCCATCGACCAGGACCTCCAGGGCTACATCCTGCACCGCATTCACAGCAGCTCTGAGATTCAGAACAACATCTCGCTCAACGGCAAGATGGACAACACCACCTTCGGCAAGCTGAGCGCCCACCTGAAGGCCCTCAGCCAGGGCTCCTACCTGTACCTCAAGCTGACCTTTGACCTCATCGAGAAGGGCTACCTGGTGCTGAAGAGCTCCAGCTACAAGGTGGTGCCGGTGAACCTGGCCGAGGTCTACCTGCTGCAGTGCAACATGCGCTTCCCCACGCAGTCGTCCTTTGAGCGGGCGCTGCCGCTGCTCAATGTGGCCGTGGCATCGCTGCACCCGCTGACGGACGAGCAGATCCACCAGGCCGTCAATGCCGGCTCGGTGCAGGGCACACTGGACTGGGAGGACTTCCAACAGCGCATGGACAACCTGGCCATGTTCCTGGTGAAGCGGCGGGACGGCACACGCATGTTCGTGCACCCGTCCTTCCGTGAGTGGCTCATCTGGCGGGAAGAGGGCGAGAAGACCAAGTTCCTGTGCGACCCCAGGTGAGGCCGGCCGTCGCCGTTGGGTCTCTAAGCTCGCAGTGAACACTTTCATTTGGGCTACAGGTTTCTGTGGGATTCCTACCAGCTGGAGGACACTTCAGTAGTTTAGTAATTAAGCCTCAGGTCTATTAGCAGTGAGCTTCCCAAGAGATATGGAAGCTGCCGGAAACGTTAGGATAGTTTTCATTAACATTACAAATTCAAGATATTCACATACTGAGTGTCTCAAAATTACTTAGGAACTTACAATAGGAAAACAGGTTACAATAATAAGTACTAACCACTAATAGCATATTTTGATGAATACTTGGCATTTTCTTAATTATTTTTTAGTAGAGGAAATTGAATCTTGGTTATTATCATTGAGGGACTTTATGGTCATTAGATGAACTTTATGGTTAAGGGAGAGCTTATTATGGAAAATGAATATTATTAGTTCTGCATTCAGGACTGTAGCCTTTGCTAATGATAAGGCTAAGTGTGTAAAATCATATTTTTTTGGTAAACGTGCCTTATATTGTGGAATAAATGTGATATGCGTTCTGAAACCAAAGCCCCAAATAGCCATTTCTCTGCCCCACCCCACATCGCAGGAGTGGTCACACGCTCCTGGCCTTCTGGTTTTCGCGCCAGGAGGGCAAGCTGAACCGGCAGCAGACCATCGAGCTGGGTCACCATATCCTCAAAGCACATATCTTCAAGGTAGCCATCTTGGATCACATGATCCCAGCCAGCACTGAGTCTGGAACGCCAAATGCACCCATGCTGTGTAGCTTCTCTCCCTGCTTATTGTATTTGATATTAATCTCCTAGAATAATACCCCTGTACTATGAAACAGGTGAGGTGACCTGTTCTGATTAAAGCAGTCTTACATGCCTATTTGTTAGTCTCACTCTAGTTACCTTTTATGTTACAGGGCCTAAGCAAGAAAGTTGGGGTTTCCTCGTCCATCTTGCAGGGACTTTGGGTGTCCTACAGTACAGAAGGCCTTTCCACTGCCCTGGCCTCACTTCGAAATCTCTACACACCAAATATTAAGGTACTCTAACACAAGGAGACGTGAATCTTCCCATCTGGTAAATTCCGAAAAAAACAGTGTTGTAATGAGAAAGGCTTTTTGTAAAGCCAGTGTGTTCAGGTTATTTGCTGTACATTTTTCCCCAGATGAATATCTGTTATGGCAAATTTATCCACCACAGTAATTTGTTTTATTTATGGGATGATAATAAGTGCTGCATTTGAGCCGCGCACAGCGGAATGATAGGGCACCACTGACAGGGAGGTAGCGTGGGTCCCTGAAATTTAGATCTGGTGGCCCGGAGAGTGACATGCGCTTTGCGTCCCATGAGAGCCCAAGTGACGTTTCAGTGTCGTCTGGGGGCTTTTGTGTGGTTCAGTGGGTCGGGACACTGCTTGTGATCGGAAGGTCGTTAGTTCAAATCCCAAGGCTAGCAGAAAGATTTCACTGCTGAGCCCTATTCTGGACTGAAGCAAATGCTAATGTAAATTCTGCCTGATATACATGCCCCCCCCCTCCAGGTTAGCCGCCTCCTGATGCTGGGTGGGGCCAACGTGAACTACCGCACAGAGGTGCTGAACAATGCGCCCGTCCTGTGCGTCCACGCCCACTTGGGCTACATGGACACAGTGTCCCTGCTGCTGGAATACGGGGCCTCCGTGGACGCCGCTTCTGAGAGCGGCCTCACCGCGTTGGCCTACGCCGCCTCTTCCGGCCACCTGGCCATCGTCACCGCTCTGTGCCGCAAAAGAGCCAAGGTGAGCCTCGCCGCCCGGAGGAGGGCCTCTGCTTTGTGATGACATCACAATAGTAATGCTGACAGAATCATACAGGGGGCACCTTAGCTGTAGAGATTGATATCGGGCTGAGAATGAATCAGGACATACATTTTGTTGTCAAGTATAGCAAAAGGGCATAACTTGTTTGATTCTTAAGTACGGGTCACTTAGTGGATTTCAGGTCTGTGACACCACCTAATCTATGACAGGAGGGACACCTATGAGCTATTTCAGGTTTTATAAGCCACTTAAGGCTCCAGTGCTCAGCTGAATCATTCAGGTTGCCTTGTACTTTTACTGGTTTGTTTCCTAAGTTGAAAGACTCATCCAGCTGTTTCACGTTAACATTAGTGACACATGCATGATTGTAGGAGACTGACCACTCAGCACACATGCATGTGTGAAATCCAGGTCCTTTTAATTGAAATGGTTGAAGTGGTCATTTACTAACCCGGTCGAAGCTCATAGTGCGCCTGACCACCTCCTTTCTGCAGGTGGATCACCTAGACAAGAATGGCCAGTGTGCCCTGGTACATGCTGCCCTCAGGGGCCACATGGAGGTGGTGAAGTTCCTCATCCAGTGTGACTGGACCATGGGAGGCCAGCAACAAGGGGTCTTCAACAAGAGCCATGCTGTCCAACAGGCCCTCATCGCCGCAGCCAGCATGGGCTTCACTGAGGTATGTTTTTTTTAATCTGCAGTATAACACACCCATCCTGGGCTTAATTTAGGCCTTGTGGGCCTGTATTATAACACACCCATCCTGGGCTTAA